CCTCCTTTCAGGTAGTTGTAGAGGGCGATAAGGTCCAGTGTTTTCTACGAGCGTGGCTTCACGCCACCGAGCTTCATCCCCTCCTGCTATCCTCCTCTCCGCATCCCCCTGGACTCGTTGCCCTTTTCCAGAAGATTTCTCCAGGTTTTCCATCATCACCCTTGGGACATCACGGGGCTTCTGGAGCTCCAAGGGAACTGCTGGTGGGGCTGGACCTTCACGCTTCACGTGGGGAAAATGGGGCTCGGGGAAGATACAGGCTTGGGGGTTGTGGGGGTGCAGGGGCAGCAGCGAGCTCCCCGATGGGATGCTCCGGGAAAACCAGACATGGGTCAACTTTTCCACTCAAATGGAGATTTCTCCCAAGCCAGCGGACCGGGCCAGCATCCCGCCTGCAGCTGCGGAAGGGAAAGCTCCGAGACACATCCATCGACCCGGCTGGCCAACCTGCAGACCGAAGGAAATCTGCAGGCCAAGAAACATCTGGGAAACGTGCAACTCCGGTTTAACCCTTCCTTCCCCAGACACAAGTGCTTTCATTTCAAGGGTCCTTTGGTCCTTCAGGGCAAATGTCCTGGGAAAGGCAACCACGGGAGGTCTGGGCTGCCCGATTTGGGTCCAGATGCTGAGGAATCGCCGTCACCTCTCTGCTTTGCCTTGGCTTGCCTGGACACGCACGCTGCTGGGACCATGCATGGGGCTGGAGTAAGAAACCTGGGAGGCGCTGGGTGTCAAAACCTGGTCCCCATCCAGCCCAGCCACCCGCTGCCATGTGGAGACCCACAAAGCCGAGGTTTGGGGGGACAGGGATGGATGTGGAGGTCCTAGGATGGATGTGATGCTGGGAGGAACCCACATCCCGTCTCGCTGCATTGCTTGAAACATTATTTAGGTGTGATGGGGACTTTTATTGTAAGCAACCCATTCATCTGCACGGCGAGATTGAAAAGAGCAATTAATGCAGTGATGCTCAGGTCCCTGGTAGCCCAGCTGTGCCTGGGGCAAGGCTGGGGTGGGGGGGGGTTGGCTTGCAGCTGTGGCTGGGGG